GGGGGGGTCATGTAAATTCGTGCAAGAAAAAACATAGCAATTTTTTTTAATTAATGACGTTTTTAATTAATAAACGTAAAAAGTAAATGGGATCTTTTGGTTCATTGATTCCTTGTTCAAGTAACACAAGCATGCCTGGCATGTTTTATAACTAAAATAGCAATGATAAATGTAGATCCTCTAGGTGGCAAAATTAACACCTGAACAATAGCTAATGATTGGCCATATCGTATATCATTCATTAATTCATTTTACTGTTTTGGCTTTGTCATATATGTACATATTCAGGGACGCCGGGACTGGAGGGCAGGGCGGCGGCTGCCCCTCTTGCCTTTTTCTAGGGGAGAGGGGGGGGGGGCAGGGGGGGGGCAGAAGTGCCCTTTTAGTTGTAAAATACTACGTGTTAAACCACATTTCCAGTGATTCTTTTTCGGGCAAAATCATGAGATTCAGGTAATTTATAGGCCCAGCGAAAGTTAATTTACAAAAATAAGTGTGAATTTGGAAAAGAATGAGGATCAGTAAGAATTATTCCTTATTGATCCAGTGTTAATACTACAGGAAACCTAAACTAAACTAACTTTATTTATACTAGATAGCTCTATCATGCAGTTCTAAACTGTTCTTCCTAGAGGTCCAGTAAGGATCATCTCTTATAGATCCAGTGTTACTACAGGAGGAAACCTAAACTAAACTAACTGGATTTATTTATACTGGGTAGCTCTATCAGTTCTAAACTGTTCACCTTAGAGGTCCAGTAAGGATCATCTCTTATTGATCCATAAAATGTTATTTTTCTCAATTTAGGGGTGTGCAAAACTCAGACGAATAATACAGAAGCCTGCAAGTTTAAAGGAAATATTTATTTATTTAAATTAAACGATACATTCAAATAGTATATATTCTTATAATATGTAATTATTACTTTATACGATGTTGTAAGTTTGAATGGCGATGTTAAAAAAGAATAGTTTTTGTGAAAAACACCGCGGCAAAGCTGCTTTCGAGCCGTACGCCCAAATTCTCACATCAGTAAAAGAAATACTGCAGGTTCACGGATAAGCACCAGTGTTTTCCAAAAACACAGCTCATCTAAATATTAGATAGTACTAGTCTAAGATCTACGACGCGGAAACGAGTTTGTATTCTTTATGAGTTCGAGTTACAAAATCGAGTTCGAGTTACAGAATCGAGTTCGAGTTAGAAAATCGAGTTCGAGTTAGAAAATCGAGTTCGAAAAACGAGCGAGTTCCTTTTAAAAACTAAACTTTATTCCAAACTAATTTTAAATTTCCCAATTGCACTCCAGACTATCAAACTTTACTTGGGTGTGTTTAAACATAATTTTTTTATGCGTCAATTGTTGCGCTATAGAACTTGTCGTATTCCTTTGCACCAATAGCTTATAACCAAACAAGTCCCCCAAAGGCCTCTGTGGGCGTGCATGTGTGAACATCTCTTTTTCTCATGCATGGCATTGTTCATGATCCTCTTAAACCATACCGTACGATTTAGAGCTGATGCCTGATGGGAGAGATTACAAGTGCCAAACGTGGGGACATTTTCATTTCTTAAAATAAAAAGCGAAATGAAATAAGAGCATGCGTTGATTTGTGAAAGCAAGTTACTCATTAGCATGCATAAACGTTAAGAGAAACGGCCGTATGTGTACGTAAATTGAAAACGACATTCTAACAATAGCAAAAATTTATTTGTGTCTATATGTACGATTTGTCCTTGTATATTGATGATGAAGGACGCGAAAGCACTCACTGCATACTAATGGTTTAACAAACTTCAACAACAACGTTACTGTATATAGTCTCTATATATAGGAGATCATATTATATAGATTTGTCAATTCACGTAGAAACAATAGGTAAATTTTGCAACGAGTCCAGTTCTTCCGGCGTTAATTGTAAGTCAGTGTCAAGCAGGATTCTTTTGGGAGCAGGCAAACTTGATTTTGCTATACAACACAACTTATGACAATAACGATATGTTGCGTCAACTTGAAAGTGGTTGCCGTCCTTATCCTTAGGAGTATACTTCCCAATGACAGCAACACAAAGGTCACCAGTCTTAAAAACGCGCTTGCTGCAGCCTTTACATTTTGGCTTAGGTCCACCCTGGAATGGCATCCTTTGCACTTTCCACTCGCTACTCTTTTTTGTCGGTACTGGGGCACTTGATGCCTGACCAACTAATACATGGGACGGCGATTTAGTTGCAAATTTAGCCAGCATGGACTTTAATTCACTAGTTGTATATGCAATCTGGTTGAGTCTTCCATCATCTTCTTCTAGTCCAACCTTGTTGAGCAATACGTATAAGATATGGCTACAAACTTGTGTCCTGTTTCTGGTGTATTTACAAATGTCTCCATTTTTTAAGCATATTGGCTTGTGTGCGATCGTAACACTCACTCAGTAACAATTATGTCATCGTCATGGCATTTGCAAACAAATCTGCAGTTAACCTCTGTTCGGTAATCGACAGATGTTACGCAGAGTCTATAACGCTTAGCGAGTTCCAAAGATCTGGTAAATTCTTGAGAACGCCTTGTTCTTGTGTGTGCTGAGCGGACTTCTTTATCTGAGCGGACTTCTTTATCGTATAAAAAAAGAACACAATTTTGAGAATGCAGAAATGGTATCTCATAACCTAGAATTTATTTAAATGCAACTTTTCTGATCAAGATCACATTGGGATTTTCTCCTCCCCCCCCCCCAGAATCAAAAAGAGGAAACAAGGTCATTCTGATCACTCCTCCTGTTTTTGAAGGTGACTTTTTCAATTTATTTAATTCCAAGGTGAAATGTCATGGAAAATATATGCCTTCGATGTACTTTATAATATTGGGAATTATGCAAGATTACATCCCAGAAATGCTTTAAATCGAATTTCAGGGGCTCTATATTTCAAAACATTTTCCGGGGGAATGCCCCTGGACACAACTAGTCAGTCTCACTCCTTTGGCGTTTGCCAAAAACTAATGCACCTATCAATGTTAAGCGGAGGGGGGAGGGGTCGGGCATGGGTGGGGTATTTGATTTTTTGAGCACATTTTCAATCAAATGCCCCACCGTCGGGCAATAAATATTGCTCAAACTCAAATGCCCCACCATTTTGCAATAAATTGCAATAAATACTATGTTAATAAAAGTCATTCGCTTCAAATTGCCCCAACCCCGGGCCAAAATGCTGATCAAAATCCCCATGGTGGGGATGCAATTGATGATCAAATACCCCACATATGCCAGACCCCCCCCCCCCCCCCTGGGGGTTAACATTGATAGGTGCAAAACGATAAATATGAAATATAAATATGAAACGATAAATATAAAAATACTTTTAAATACATTACAAATTTAGTTATAAGCATAAATTTACCTTCCCAAAGTTCTCAACTACATGCTCTTTGCTTTCCATACGCAAATTAACCGTGTCTCTTGTACTCCATCGTCATCCTCATCAGAATCCACTGTGTAAATGAGCGTTTTTTTCTCCGTTTTTACCACCTCTGCATAACTTCTACGTAAATATAAAACGATAAATTATCTGAGATATATAAGTAAAGTAAACCTATAAATAAAAAAGTACGGTGGCGTATATAAAACATCATTGAAAACACTGAAATTTTAAAGACATATTTTTTAATACTATACCTTTCTGTGGCATTTGCTTCAACATCAATGACCTCTCAATGAATAAAATATGATTTGTTGTTATTAAAAGAATATTTTAATACAATTACAAAAGAAAAACCATTAAATAATTGTATTAACATATGCTAATTTCATACCTGTTTCGAAGCCGAAGGACAACTCGAATGATTTTCCGCCATTTTGCAAAGAAGCACATGAGCCGGTGAATAATTTGGCATGTTTAGGGTAATTAACATATATTATTTTGTGTTACCGCTGACAAAAATGCAACTCGATTTTTGAACTCGAACCACTGAGCTATAATATTACTGGAGGAGGTGCTCCTATCTCTCGTCGGTCGGCACTAGATCATAGACAAGATACGCACATATCTGAAACTGCAATACATACGAGTCAGCGGTATTCCATATTTAAAATTCAAATAAATTAGTGCGCGAAATTGGAAAAAAACGCGCGAAACCAAAGCAATATGGCTTCCATCGAAGAGTATAGCGATAGTGACCGTGTGCTTGTTTGCGCTTCACAAGCAGAAATGCTTGAGAAATATTTGAAGATTACAAAATAAAAACAAGTAGTGGTTGGAGATGTATCAAATTAAACGCACTTTTTGGTAAGTGAACTAATTTCAATATGTAAATTTGTCTTATAAATATTCATACGAATACCGTGTGTGAAATATTTATGAAAGATCCAAATTATGCATACATAAAACCTTTATCGATTTACTGCAGTACTATACTCATATAATAATATAGTATGTCTTTATAAAGGACGAAAGATGCATGTGCTTTAGAATATATAGTAAAACTCACTGGATAAAAACCTTTCATAAGGGACCACTCATTAATAATGGGAGGAGGGAGGGGGCGGGGGGCGGTGGGTGATAGATACCAAATAATAAACATTCTTTAGAGCCGCCCCAATCGCAAGACCTTTATTTTCAAGATGCCCACACCTTCATTTAGAACATTTAGGACCCCCCTCCAACATTTAATTGTTACTTAGTTGGTGTAAAATAGGTAATGGGACAAGTACTGGTGTTACGATATTGTGTAGCCTAAATAATAAGAGGACCAGTATTCGAAATGGTTGTTATTTACTCTGACTCCTATCGTGAACTGTATATACGTAATAAACTATGGAAACTACGATTATAGGAACTAAAAAAGGTGGGATATTTTGTGGGATACGATAAAGGCAAGAGATTGAAAATGAGTAGGAAAGTATTAAAAATTTGGGGTCACCCCTTGTCATATATT